ATATATATATATATATACAGTATATATATAATTCAGTATCCAGTTAATTTTAATATTAGTAAGTCATGGGGACACAAACGGCACAGCTTCCTGAGAATAATCCAAACATTAATAACTTAAATCACATAAATTAAAACTAAAAATGCAATGTTGTCCTACACACATTTGACTGTATCTTTGTCAAAACACACGCTTTAGTCCAACATCAGTGTCAGTGAACTGAAGGTTCGTAAATTCCACAAGTGCCTGCGTTTAACTGCGGTGTTAAATGCATTGCAATCAAATCTAAAACACATGAAACGCGCATAGCAGAGCTCTGAGTGAGTGTGCGCTCTTTGAAACGGTGCTAATGTTTTAAAGAGTGTTGTGTGAGCGTGTGATGGGTTCACTGAAGCATTTCTCTACATTACAGGAGACAACAGCAAAGAGAAGAAGAAAGACAAAAGGAAGCAGTGGTGGAAGCCTTGGGTTGATCATGCGTCCAGTTAGTGTCTCCTGCTCTTTGAATGCTCATTATGTAATTTTCAACTGAAATGAAATTATTTATATTCATTTCACAAGATGCCAATGTTGATCTGATGTCATTCGGATGAATATTGCAGCTCAAATTCACATATGAAAAGGAAAAATGGGATCTCTTTAATGTCTCAATTGTTTCGTACTGATCAAATGCAGAGAGCGAAATTATGCTCAGATGTGTTTCCGTAGAAAAAAACAATATAATATATAATAACCAATAATCTGCCCAGAGATCTCAACAATGTCTCAGATCGAGCTCAGATTTGCTAAAATACCAACATACGCAATCAGTGTTTTTACTTTAAAATTGACATTTAATTAGATATGACTAAACAATAACATATTCCTCTGTGTATTTATAATAAAATAAAATAATAATATAAATAAATAAAAATAACAAAAAAATTTAATAAATGTATTTATTTTATTAAAATAAATAATTAATACAAATTACAAAAGTAAAAAAATTATTTTAATAAGTTTTCAATGTCAAAAAAACTTTGTGTGTATGCTTATTGTGTTGAAATCAATAGAAAGTGATGTGTGATTTGTTGTCTCTTTTAGTGGTCCGAAGTGGCAATTATTACTTATTTGAGACAGATAGTGAGGAAGAGGAGGAAGACGAGGACAAGAATGATGAGGAACCTCCCAAAAGATCAGCGTTCCAGGTAAATATTCTAGAAACTTAAGTGCTTTTCTGCATGCGCACCCATTTTTAAGTCGTATAACTGTGCTGAATTGTGTTGTTCCCACACACAACCGTGTTTAACCTAAATGGCTCTGTGTTACGAAAATGTTTCAATGTT